AAAAAAAAATCTACCTGGAGAGAATATCCTTGGTCACACTGGAAGGAAACGACATCTCCCACCATGTACCTGTCTCCAATCTTAATTCCACTATTTGGGATCTGAGGTTCAGGGCAGGAGTCCAAACCTATAGCTGTGGAAAGTTAAAAAACTTAAAAATGACAAAATAAATTTATCCTTTGTTATGCAGATTCTGACATAAAAAGCAGAACATTAACAAAGTTCCCATACTGAGGAAGATTTGAATCAGTAACACAATAATAAATAATTATTTAAAACTGTCTACCTTCTAGAAGCTTCACAAGTCTTAAACATTTGACAGACCACTCTCAGAGTTAGTGGCAACTATAAAACAGAGTTGGCTACACCCAGATCATGCCAACATGTTAATTCCCAATAAATCTGGTTTAGTTTTGGAAGCTTGGCTACTTATGATTTAATTGGAGTAACTGCCGGAATCCTGACAGTTAGCAGAATACAACCAATTGGATTCCTGTCTCTTTCAGAGACTTCCAAAACCCATCAACAAAAGCCAAGTGCATGATACTGCCTTGGAAAAGGGAAAAGCTAAATGTAGAACAATGGACAAAGAAGAGGACTAATTACCATTTGTACGTAAGTATAGTTGAAATATATTACAAATTAGGAGCTTCAAGAGAAAAAGCGGAATTATGACCTTTGAACAGAACAGTATGAAAATAAAGTGCAGGTAATCCTTGACTTATGACCCTTTGTTTAACAACAGTTCAAAGTTACAACATCTTGAAAAAAATGACTTATGACCTGCACTCCCATTTATGACCATTGTATCACCACCATGATCACAATTCAGGCCCTTGTATTTCAGCTGTACCTCCTAGAAAATTTCTCCTAGAAAGGACAGTTGGTCAAAGGTTGTTCACAGGATAAATAAATCATCCTGGATTTTAAAAATGTATTTTAAAAATTCACATATTACACGGCAAACCTTTCACTGAGCTATATAAACTATTTTTATATTCTCATGTTCTAAGTCCTTTGCGTGAAAGCTGAACAATACAAACATTTAAAATACAGTAAGTAAGGATGGAACATTATGTATTAAATATGAAGTGGAACAAAAGAAAGCTTTTCTAAATTCGGAGTCAAATAAAACTAAACAGCCAACAAATAGCCGCAGAAGCTAAAAGCTTTCCAAAATAAATGAGTTTACAACCTTTCCAAAGGCTAGAAGAGAAAAACAGTTTCCCATGTCAACAGAAAGCTGATTCCAATGCTCTGGAGCAACTGTAGTCAAAGTCTGATACTTGGCTGTTAACAGTTTGTCTCATATGAAGCTGAAAGAGATCTGAACATTTCCCCACAACTGGGACTGAGGCTTAAAGGGAAAGCTGGTCTCTTGAGGATCTCCATCTAAGACCACAACTAATATCAGAAACAAAAGAGGAGCACTCTGAGACTCAGAGATAACTTATGTGTTGACATTCATTCTAGGCATGGATAATATAGGACAACCAGTTTGGTCTAATGGTTAAGGTAGCAGACTAGAAACCGGAGGACTGTGAGTTCTACTCCTGCCTTAGCCATTACAGCCAACTGTGTGACCTTGAACCAGTCCCTCTCTCTCAGCTCAGCCCATCTCACATTCCTGCCTCAAAAGAGCCATCAAAAAAATAAGTCAGTCCTATCATTAGGACCAGGAAAGGCATTTGTTCATCTTTCCAACACAGAAAGACGGCTGTGCTTGTCCAGTTGGGAATAAGCTCTATATATCATGCAATCTTTTTTCTCTAATCAATTATATTAATTGTATTGTTCAAGTATAGCATCAAGTCTGTTTTTCAAACTGATGTTGACAATTCATATGTAATGTTTAATAAATAAAGAGAGCATATGCACAGTAGAGAATCCAGTTAATCTTGTTACATTAATTTGTAAACTGTATAAATGTTTCTACACACAAACACACAGATTAAATGGAGGAGGGGAAATATGTTTATTATTTTATAGTTGTCCCCTTCTCTCAAACCTATAGAACAAGATAAACTCGGATTATTAGAATTAATTCTGAAAAAAAATGGATCGTTTGATTATTAATTAATGTAATTAATGAGCCATAAAATATAAAATAAAAATGGTTGGAGACAAAAAACCAATCACACACTTTGGGGAATGAAGCAAAGATTACCATCATGATACGTATCCCATTATAATTTTGCTTCCTGTTTAATTGTCTAAAGGTTCAGGTAGATTCTAGCCTATGAAATTGATAATTTTATAAAATTGATAATTTTATAAAATGATTTCCCTATATTACCATAATACAGATAGCCATTTGTTAATGATCATTTGAAGTTACAATGGCACTGAAAAAAAGTGATTTATGACTGTTTTTCATACTTATGACTGTTGGAGCATCCACCTTTTGATCTAAGTTGAGGACTAGTTGTCATTATCATTTATCTGCAATGGAGGATATGAAAATGAGAAAGAAAATAAAAGATAAGTAGGTCTAACCACAAATGGCCTATTGTAATTCTTCATCAAATCTGGGAGCACATAAATTGACTAATTTTACTGAGTTTTATCAGGAAAGATATTAATACCTTGTATAACTTTAAAAACAACAACATCTATTTCCTGGTTCTAATAGCTCTGCTACTGAAAATACCCTTGTTCTGTTGAGATTTTTTGCCTGTGGATATAAAGAAAAAAACTGCTAAAAATGATTGTCAGGTGATATACCATCACAAATAATGGTAAACTCATACATTCTTCACCAAAATTCTTTTCCATTTTGAAAAATATTTCAAAAACAGGTTTTCTTTCAATAAGATGAATAAAAATTTGTATGAGAGACATATAGGAATACTTTTCCTATCTGGCATTGGAAATAAGAATGGGAGACATGAAGAAAAGAACTAAGAAGAAAAAGAAAAATGGAGGAGATGGCAAAAAATATAGAGTGGTCTATTATGGGTCATGATTCTGTCCCATCTCTTATATAAAGAGCTGAATAATCCCCAAACACATACAAACTATCCTCCCTTCCCACTAACATACAGAGTAAACTTTATCTAGTGTGACTTTTTGGAACCTGAGATGAGAGTTTTGAACTACATGCTATCCCATCCTTTCACTTGACATTAGAAATTATGTTATCTATATCCTCTTCTTTTCATTTCACTTTCATCAACTGTGTGCAGTTTTGACAAAGAGATGAAGCGTGAAGAAATTATGAATTGTGGTTCAACTACTTCCTAATATTGCCAGTTATTCCATGTCACTTAAATCATTGTTGAGTAAGTGAGTAGTTAACAGAGCTAGACAATTGCAAGATATATTCCGTATGAAATGACTGAATCAAATATTGAGATCTATATATAATTGTGACAACTTCCTGATATTTCAAAGTATCATTCCAGCTTTCAAACAACCAATTACTTGAACATTAAAAAAAAAGCCAGCAAGGCAGTAAAATGTAAAATAAAAGAACAGGATTGCATGTCAATGCAGGAAGATGATTTGATAATACGCATCTCTCATAATTCTTACTTAAAAAAAAAAAAAGAATATCTACTTATATTACAAAATGGAACTGTGATTGAAGAATTTGGGGGTTTTCACAGATCAGACAAATGGCCACAACATGCAAGATTATGTGTCTGATTTTGTTTATATCTATAGGATACGCAAGGTCTTCTATATGAAACAATGAGAAAATAACATACATTCTAGAGAAAAAGGCTTTTGCATTTATACAGGCTTTTTCAGACAAATGATGGTTGTTGTTTTTTTTATTATGGAGAGAAGGACACAGATTTGGTTTCAAATATGCAAGTGACACTATAGGAACCAAGCAAGAGTTGATTAAGCTTATATTTGATGTTACAATTGAATGCTACAATTGCATGTTACAAATTCTGTAACAAAGTTATCTTTTGACAAATAAACATTCAATAATAAGAAAGCAGCACATACAATCTGAAATATGAGAAGTAAAACTTTGGTGATTTATTACTGTCCTGAATTTTCTTTGTTTCTCTTGCTTGTTGTCTTAGCCATTGTCCTCTCCTCAACAAGATTCAAAAGTACAAAATATAAACCACGAGGCAGATAAATTTAACTAACCCCATGGATATCAAGTTGACTTATGGTCTCAGATGTGATTTAAGCCTTGCATTAGTTCTGGGACAATTTGCCTAAAAATATGTCACCTTAGTCATTCAAAATTGGCAGCCTTTCCTCTCCCTACTTCAAAGGATCAATAGAAACAAGTTAAACCAAATTCCTTTTTTATCCCAGAATGATCCACTTTTTCATGTCTGTCTCTGAAGGTGCTTGATGTTCCACATATATTTTTAATACTTACCTTTTACTTTCCCCTTTTTTACCCTTTCATTTTTGAATACTTCATCAGCTAATATCCTGAATTCTCAATCCTAATGAATACAGACTCTGGGATTCTTTGTAGGGAATAGGATCGTTGTGGTTAAATATTTATCTTTTGTTACTCTATTTGTTTCATAAATTGAACGATTTATATATAACAAAATAATACATAATTAAAGCCAGAATAATTGTATGAAAATTCTCTACCTTGTGAAATTATCATTCCCAGTCTTTCAACAGAACCAACATTTAATTTCTTGAAGCGTAAATGTCTACATTTTCAAAGTCATTCAGTCTATCTAATGGCAATATATATTGCAATTACATTACCTGTGTACTCTAAGTGAAAGCCGGCAGCCGACACACTAATATCTGACTGAAAATTTAAGTACAAATTGTTGGATGTACTATTAAGAAGTGGAGGTATTGTGGTTCCTGGGAAGGAAAAAAAGAAGTTTCCAGGTTATTAATCTTCAATTTATTTATTTATTGTCAATTGCTTACAAGATAATAGGTATAAGTACAAAACATAGTTATGAATACATGGATACATATAAGAACAAAAAAAAACAACAAAAAAAAAAAACAATAGGACAGGGACGGTAGGCATATTGGTGCACTTATGCATGCCCCCTACAGACCTCTTAGGAAAGGGGTGAGGTCAATAGTAGAAAGTCTAAGGTTAAAGTTTTTGGGGTTTGGGGAAGAAACCACAGAGTCAGGTAGAGTATTCCAAACATTGACTACTCTGTTGCTGAAGTCGTATTTCCTGCAATCAAGTTTGGTGCGATTAACCTTGAGTTTGTATCTATTGTTGCTCTTGTATTGTTATGGTTGAAGCTGAAGTATTCATTGACAGGTAGGACATTGCAATGTATGATTTTATATACCATACTTAGATTGGACCGAAGGCAGCGTAGTTCTAGGTTTTTTAAGTCTGGTGGCATAAGGTGTTCTGCAACGAGTAGAGGAGTGGAGAACTCTTCTTGTGAAATATTTCTGGACTTTCTCAACTGTGTTAATATCAGATACGTAATGCGGGTTCTGCTATTTCTTTCTACATTTCACAGTTTTATCTATAAATATAAGCAATGTCTCAGTTTACAATTTATATCCATTTCAAAAGAGTGCTTTTAATAGACAGTTTTTGCTCGACTCTGAAGCAACCATAGGATCCAGTCAATCACCTTGGTTCTTGGTGACTGAACTTGGAAAGATTTCATTTCTTTTAAAATTAAGTAAGGTTTAGAAAGTGAGTTTGAAGTAGTAAACTAAAGAACCAAAAAGCATGAGAAAAAAATGAAATTAAAGTACATCTAGTTTATATTATTATATCTTTCAAACTATACCAGCTTCTACCACACCTATGAAAATCTTCTCAAGTCCACCTATCTATGTCTTTTTCAGTCTTTTCATCCTCTTGATACATTTACAGATAGTCCTCGACTTACAATTCATTTAGTGACCATTTAAAGTTACAATGGCACTGAAAAATGTGACGGTTTTCTCCATGATCATGTGATCAAAATTCAAATGCTTGGCAACTGGTTCATATTCATATGACCATTGATATGTCCCAAGGTCATGTGATCACCTTTTGCAACCTCTGACAAGCAAAGTCAATGGAGAAACCAGATTCATTAACAACTGGGTTACTAACTTATCAACTGCATGTGATTCACTTAACAACTATGGCAGGAAATGTCATAGAATGGGGCAAAACTCACTTAATAAATGTCTCACTTAACAACAGAAATTTTGAGTTCAATTGTGATCATAAGAGAAGGACTACCTGTACTATTTTTTTCATAAGTTTGTTTTGCAATTCAATCCTTTGTAATGTAATCCGCATTCATTCTGTAGCTGTGATCAAATCCTCAAATTGTTTCTTTCATATTGACTATTGACTTTTATAAGCAACCTATTTTCATGTACATATATATGTATGCATGTATATAGATATTTTTCACATTTTTAACTGCCAATCTCCCAATGTTTGGCAACCATTTGTTTTCATCTACTCTGCTTGTTTATCACAATAGTTCTTAAATGCCTTGTTCTAACTACACTCAACTTACTTCCACACAAAGGAGAAGCATGCTCTTAACACAGCCATTTCAGTTTCTATATGTATGCCTCACAACAGACTCCTATTACTTACTATCTCTCTACTATTACTCCATTAGTCAGTCTGCCTATTATTGGGTCTTTGCTGTACATTTTAATTATGCCAAGTTCATGAAAACACGTACCCAATTTGCACTGCATGCACAAATTAATTTATATGCACTCAAAAACAAATCACACATGAACTCTGGAGCTGATCTATACTTTACACATATAATTAAAATATATAGCTCCACAAGAAAGGTTAATTAGAGAAATTAATGTTTAAAATAAAAGTCATAGTAAGTTCTGGTAAGGTCCCCTAAGTTAGCTACAATTTCAGTTGTTCCTTTCAGCATTATTCTGGAGTATTAACAAAAAAATCAATGGTATATGGCCAGGGGTGGGATTCAAATTTTTTAACAACCGGTTCTGTGGGCATGGCTTAGTTGGTGGGCCTAGCTTGGTGGTAATGTGACTGGCTGGGAGTGGCCAACTCAACATCACTCACGTCGAGGCACGCATCTCCTCGCCTGGCCTCTCATGACTGTGGGGATGCTGCAACAGTCATAAGTCACTTTTTCCAGTGCCATTGTAACTTTGAATGGTCACTCCACACAAGCAAAGTACCAGCAAAGGAGGGAAAAAAACCCTCAAGAGACGTTCCTGAGACAGGAAGTCTAGTCCTGCCAAGAATGTAATAAGGGTTAACGGAGAGGCAGTTTCTGTAAGCAACACCAGAATGTTTCTTCCTGCCTTCCTTACAGGATTAGGCCAGTAATTTCTTTTAACAACCAGTTCTCTGAAGTGCTTAGAATGTTAACAACCAGTTCTAGTGAATAGGTGTGGGTAGAATCCCATCCCTGTATATGGCTTCCAGGCATAACTGCTGCTACTAACTGTGGTCACTATAAATAGGTACAGAAGTTGGTAGATGGACCAGAAAATTTGGGATCTTTACAGGCAAATTATTATTGTCCTCTAAATTGAGAATCCATTGTTATTGGTGAATACTTTGGTGGGCAAAACTGCAACTTTTTGGTACCACCATTCCCTAACAGTAAAAAATAGTTAAAAGTAAAGAAGAACAATTCAGAAAGAAGCAATGTAATGACAAATATTTTTGCACTGAGGGTTGAAAGGTGAACAAAATAACAATGGATTTTCCATAAGGTGAAAGGGTCTTGGAATATCAAACATGTTTAATTTATAAGCACATTAATTTTTTTTGAAAAACACAGTATTTTTTAAAATATATTTTTGGCATAGCACAGAAGTGTCTAAACTAGCTAAAGAAGTTAATAGTTTCAGCTATTCGTAAGATCTATGAAAAAGTCACGGCCGATCTAGCATGCAAATTACTATTATTTTCTTTTTCTTTTCTTTTCTTCTTCCACCTACATACAGAGTAAATAATGATGCTTAGGAGAAAAACAGGAAGAATCAAAAGCGGAGGAACTGCAAGGTCACGGCTTAATTTGAAGAGAAAGCAAAAGAATAGCGGGATGATTAAATGACTCAAAGTTATATAAAAGCTTTATGTTAAGAAAGTTGTTTGGTAACATATATAACCAACCTTGGCTTTTTATAATAACATTTAACTTCCACTCAGCTTATGTATGTATCACAGCATCCTTCAGACCCGCTTTTTTAAAAAAAAGTTCATTACTAATATAATTCAAACTTCCTTGCGCTCAAAATTTATTACATGAATGTCAGTCAGTATTGTGTCCATTTCCTTTAATATAGAGATTCTGTTGCTGCAGATGGTAATAAAATCAGTTTTAGTACTGTCAAAAATTTATGGTGGTACTAAGTAATGGAACTACCATGAATCAGTGGTTTAACTTGTTCTGTAAAATGGTGCATTTCAACATCTTCATATATTGCATGACTGTGATAAAAGGTATTTTATTCTTGGCATTTATTCCTAGCACACAAGCTGATGTTTTGCCACAAAATAGAATATCAGACAAGAAGTTATTATTTCCATTCACCTGAGTAGCTTCCAAGTCTTGGAGCGTTGTTATCAGCACCATCATAAAAATCTAAAGAGTCCCAGTTATGCTCCGTTGCAAAACTTATCACTTGTACCTATTAAGGACAGAGACATAGGGCAAAATTACAAGACAATATGGAATTGCTCTATTTCATATTATATTGCCAGAAATGATTTATTATTGGAGGGTTCATTCAGGCTTATGGATTTTAACTAAATATTGGATTTCAGCCAATTCCATTTCTAAATATGACCTGATGCACAATAATGATTGTAATCACTGAAACCTGTCTCTCTCATTTCCCCCCCGCACAAACACACGCTACTCAATTCTGAAAATAGCTATGTAATTAGCTATGTATCATTTATTATTATTTTATTTTATTTATTTTATTTGTCAATCGCTTAGAAGATAATAGGTACAAGTATAAACATGAGTAAGAATACAGGAAATAGGTACGAATAAATGGGGACAATAGGACAGGGATATGTATCACTATTACATACTTACTTCTCTGTTAGTGGGATTTGGGCAATAGATTGTTTGCTTGCAAGTTAGACTCTACAATACAGGTAGTCTTTTCTTAATGACTGATTAGGTTACAACTGTTCAAAGTTACAATGGTCACAGAAAGGATACTTTATGATCAGTATAGCATTAACATTTCTCACAGTCATGTAATCACATATCAGACTCAGGCAGGGATTGGTCCAGCCTAATCACACAGATAAAAGGGTTATGCTCGGTACACCATTGGTCAAGGAATTCTGGCTGGCAGTATCCATGAGAAGAACCTATATGTCATGGCTTCCACCCTTTAGAAGAGTGGTTCCCAAACTTTTTTCAGTCCACCACCCCCTTGGTGCTACAAACTCATCCTCAGTGCCCTCCACCCAGAGGTGGGATTCAAATTTCTTAATAACTGGTTATGTGGGTGCAGCCTAATTGATGCGTGTGGCTTGGTGGTCATGTGTCTGGGTGGGTGTGGCCAGGTGGCCATTTGACTGGCAAACCAAATAACAAGTGGTCCTCGCTTAAAGGCCGGTTGCTTAGCAAGTTTTCTAATTTATGACTGATCTCCCCAGAGCTGCTTTACCTGTTTTTGGAGTTTTGACAGCCATGTACGTGCATGCGCGCGCACACACACACACACACTCCCGTCTAACCCTGCTGGAGCAGGTGGTTGGACTAGATATCTCATTCACTTTCTCTCTCTCTCCCTCCCTCCCTCCCTCTCTCTCTCTCTCTTTCTTTCTTTCTTTCTTTTTTTCTTTCTCTTTCTTTCTCATGGCCGTGACTTTACCTTCCTCCCATGGCTGGCTGCCAGGGAAGGCAAACCAGGGCTGAGCCATTGTTGTCGTTGGGCTCCCTGCCAGCCCATGTTGCCCTTGTCATGAATGCCTGCAGCTGCCATATGTTTTTTTCAGTGTGGCTGGACTGCAGCCACACCAAAAAAAAAAAAAAAACCACCACGCGGTTGGAGGCTTTTTGCAACATAAATTACCACCACCGGCTTTGCTTGCTTCACTTCTCCAATGCGCCACTGTGGCCACATTCTAGGCCCCGGGACTGCAGGTCCACCCCATTGAGCCCGCTGCACCAGAGGGACTTGCCCAAGCAAGTCCGAGCGGAGTGCTGCAGCAGTCAATGGGGTTAGCCTGCATGGCCGACGCCTAGAACACAGTGGCGGTGCTGCATTGGAGAAGCAGAGCAAAGCCAGAGGTTGGTAAATTTTGCTGCAAAAAGCCTCTAGACGCCGTGGTTGTTTTTTTTTTTTTTTTTTGGTGCAGCTGGAAAAAAAGACACGCCGTCGGAATGCTTTTTGCAGCAAAAATTACTGACCTTCAGGTTTGCTTGTCCTGCTTCTCCAACGTGCCGCGATGGCCATCAGCGATTGTCGCACATGCATGCGATGTTACGCATGCACAATAAGGACTGACTGGGCAGGGGATGGAAGAGCAGGTGGAGAGGAGTGGGGCCAGCCAGGGACCTGTTTTACTGGTTTTCTGAACTACCAAGAATGGTAATGAACCAGTAGAATCCCTGATTTGCGCCCTGCGAGGGGCCCACCTCCAGCACTCCTCTGCCACCCCCTTGCTTCTTTGCGCTCCCTGCTGCCCTCTTGCCTCTAAGTCATCTTACCCCCCCAGGGGAGGTACCACCCACTTTGAGAATCACTGCTTTAGAACATCATGCTTCTTGAAATGAGACCCACACTGCTTTAGAACATCATGCCCCTTGAAGTGAGACCCACAATGACCTTCTTGGCCTTCCACAGGGGCCCAAAAACTGGGTATACTGATTGTTCGGGGCTCTCATTGGGGGTATTCAAAACTGGAGGTGGTTAATGGATGAAAAGAAGATTCCACCTCCACCCTGTTCTATATTGATACCTTCCTTAGCTATATTTTATCTTGTTGTAAACTAACTAAAGCCTGTTTCAAACATTACCTCAGTCTTTTAGAAGTGGAAACAAATTATTTAAAGATAGGAAGATTAACCAGAATTAAAAATTAAATCATCTGATAGGGAGGAATTGGGCATGTTTCGCCATGAGAAGATAAGATCTAGATGGAATATGGCAATGTTCTTCAAATATCTGAAAATTGAACTCACAGAAGAAAGTCAAGGCTTGCTTTCTATCATTTCACAAATAATCGGCTTAAGTTAGTCAGATTCTGAGTAAATTTTAGAAATATCTTCCTAACATCAGAAAACTTATGAAGATAATGATGGATTCCTGTTCAATGAGAATCAAGGAGAATCTAGAGATTTGTCATCTATCAGAATTTCTTCATTCTGGTAGAGACAACTTCCCTTCTCTACATTCCAGTAGAAAAACGTTCCCTGAAGATGTCCAACACAAGTCTGAAAGCTCAGAAGGCTAAATCTGAACTTGACTGACCTAGATTGGATCATGCAAAGTTACTTCCATTTGTATTTCTGCATATGGCTCTTGAGTTTATAATCTTATACATTTTTATGCATATGGCTCTTGAGTTTATAAGTTTATGATTCATATGTTTGGAAATGTAGAAAAATTAAATATTCTATAAACCAATGTTAAAGTACTAAATACAGTTAAAGAGGAGAATGTACCACATCATTGTTATTGCATATTTCCTTTACTTCCATCATCAAGTATAAGACACATGATGCAGGAGGTGACCAGGCTGAACTGAGGGAGGAGTCAAGTACATCATTTTGTAGAAAGTGTAAGCTTTAAATAATTTTTTATACTCATTTGAACTGCCAGAATCTCCTGGTTTCCCCAGCACTTGACACATATCAGTGTAACACGTTCAGTGTGGCCAGTACTGTGTTCACATACCAATGCTCTTAAAATAAGGATGCCTGGTATAATGTGAATTTTAATATAATTAGTTGATAATTAGATAAATGGCTTAAAATACTGAAGATACCACAATGTTTTCACATCATCAGTTAATTAACTTCTCAAAACCAAAATTAAATATGGTTCAAAGGTCTTTGCATGACTGATAAAAAAATACCCCCTTCATCCCTGTTCTAGTTGTTATCATAAATGCTGTTAAGACAAGGTTACAAATTACTAATGCTGTTTGAATTATTGGATTTTTTTTTAATAGTGAACCATCTAATTCTCACTATGAGAGAATTCTGAACATGTGTGTATGTGTGTGTGTGTAGCTGCTAATAACTCAAATAATATTCTAAGTTTCTCATCCATTGTATAATCAAATGAGAAAAAGTAACCAGCTGCCTTAAAGCAATACCATATGCTTTGACTACTAGTAGTTTTGCAACAATGACATTCTCAACAAAGTGATTTAATGAGTGATTCATGTCACTTGTTAAAGAGCTGCACATCTTGATTAACTGCTATAAATTAAGATCATTGTTTACATTCTCTATTTATTCAATATTAACAGATTCCATATGCTTTCTCAAGACCATATTCCAAAGCTGTATCATATAGCATGTATTTATGTAGGTATGCATGTCTTGAAGATGTGCAGAGATTTGGATTTGATGGGCAAACTCTGAGTTAGGAACGTGTGTTAATGTGAATGTAGCACCTAACTCAGCTAGATCTCTTTCTATGTAATCACAGTTGCCCTCTGCACACAAACACACACAGAGAGAAACTTGTATAGCAATAACAATAGCACTTAGATTTATATACCGCTTCACAGTGTTTTACGGTCCTCTCTAAACAGTTTACAGAGTCAGCATATTGCCCCCAACAATCTGGGTCCTCATTTTATCCACCTCGGAAGAATAGAAGGCTGAGTCAACATTAAGCCTGAGGGGGTTTGAACTGCCAAATTGCAGGCAGCCAGCAGGTAGCAGAAGTAGTCTGCAGTACTGCACTCTAACCACTGTGCCACCATGGCTCAATATATGCATGCATTTGTAGGCATTACAAATGTCTCTGGGGCACAACAGATTATAAAGTTGACATCACTGTCCCATCTGGCTTTGTCCTTACCATATCTATATAAACAAGAGTTACTTTTTTTGGCTATATCACAGATGGAGAACTTTGGCATGTCATATTTTCTGTAAGCTCTACACAAATCACTTTCTTATCCATTAAGCATATGTATTACTCATAATAGAAGAGAGAGACAGTTAGAGAGATTCTATCAAAATGAATTAAATATCCTTCATTTTGCTGATAAAGAAAAAAAAAACATTTTCAAAATAATTCAGACACAAAGCACTAAAGTGGGATTCAAAAATTGGAAGGAACTGCAAAAATATTCACAAGAGGAAAAAAGGACACAAAATAATATCTTTGTTTATGAGGCCTGCTTAATTTTTAAATCTCTTAATGGTAAAAGCTGTTAACATTTGTACAATTAGAAGTATTTTTACCTGAATCCCAGCTCCCTCTGGCACTGTGATCTTCCACACACAATTCAGATTGTTGTCATATGGCTCAGGATATCCCGGAGATAAAATTGTTCCTTTACGTTTAGTTAAAACACCTCCACAGGGTACTAGAAGCAGATACATTAACTATGGAAATGGTTCATATATCAAAACAGAGATGCAATGTAATAAAAGCTTACATGACTACAGGCATTATCACTCTGAGAAGTTTTACAGTACAATTCTAGAATTCAAGACAGACTTGAGGAAAGAAATAGGAAGCAAATAATCTACTGAAGAAATAAAGCCTTGACACAACAGATTATCTGTTTCAAAAACTGAAAATATATCAAATTACTTCAAAACCTATTTTTTTAATGGAGTAAGACGGATGTATTGCTGTAATTATTTATACATAATTTACTTCATTATGCTGTTGTGGTAGCTGAACAATTAGGCAAAAAATAATAACTGAAAATTTGACCTAATACAATGATGCTTGGATAGATTTATAGTTTCCCCTATTAAAAAATACACCTATTATTTTTTTTTTAAAAAAATCAGAAGCAACTTTGAGAGCTTCTGGAGAGGATATCAAAGGAATGGGAGGGTCTGTAGGCAACCAGCCCATTCCTATGTCTCATGCATAATCTACATGTCAGGGATAGACAGCATTTGTAAAGAACCACAGAAATGATTTTGAAGAAGGAATGTGGCAGTTAGCAAAATATGATTTAAGCCCAAGAAAAAAGGGGCTAGGCAGACTCCATCTCCAGATTTAATTCTCTTTGTTGTAAGAGGGAGGACTGGAAAATGCTGTTAGGTTTTTAAGGGTGCAGGCCAGGTAAGGAAACATATTGCACTGAAATATTGGGGCTATTGATAGAAATCAAAGGAGTAATGAAATCTTGCCCACATAGGTGATTTAAAGTTACATTCATTGCAATTGTCACATTCATTTTTAGGGTATTCTCTGTGGTTCTCTATGCGTCCATTATAGTCCTGAGATTTGAGGTTATGTTCCTTGACACAGAAGATGCGTAGAACATGTGAATGAGTAGCCAAGTAGGAAAGCTGGCCCATAAACCTCAGTCAGAAAAGAATGAGGTAAAAGGATGATCAAGTTACCATAAATATTTATTTGGATTATCTATGCTGGGAAATTCTTGTTCTGGAGATAATATTAGAGGAGATTTTCCATTTCATTCCGAATTCCCCCCCCCAAAAAAAGAAAAAAAAAAGAAATATGCAATAATACATAGTAATTGAATGGGAATTGAGAGTTAGATCCTAGTGAACTCTTGGAAACTTTAGTAAATACCCAGAAACTGAACTTGGGAACACTGTTGTATAGTGTGTTCTGTAGTCCATGCCATAAATGTGATGCTGAAGAACTGCTGCTTGATATGTAGGGCTTTAATTACATAACTCTGAGGCATTTAAATTTTATCACTGATATTAATACAGCTAAATTACCCTTCAGACTTCTTCAAAATAATAATATCCATATATATTCCTTGCATACAACATAAATATGAATTGCATCCAGTACAGATATCTATTGCAATGACAGTAATATTGGACCTAAATAGAAAGAATGCAGTTGGGTCCTGCATTGAAATTTAATGCTAAATATGAATGATACTTTCGGTCAAGCCACTAGACATTCTAATATAATCACATTAGGCTGTCACCTAAATACAGACATTCTGCTAGAATTTTAATAGCTTGAAGAAATGATTGATGAGAAGTTTTATCAGCACTATTAGTAGCCAATATATCATTCTGGCAGAAAAGCATTATTAAGTCCTGTGGCTCATTTCATTAGATACAAATATGAGAACCTGAAGATATGTAGAAGAAGGAAACTTATCTAAGTAATGAATACAGGAGTTACATTTTGTAGTGCATATAACTGATAAAATCTGTCAAGGACTACATGAATAAACTAAAGGTCAGAGTCACTTAAACAGTTTAAATAATTACTGGTAAAAGCAAGAGCAGACACAATGACTGATAACTGATATCTGTAAGGAAACACTGAGGTATTTGCTAGCAAGCCATGGCCATGTGTAGCATTTCAATTACTAAACTCATTGTCTAATTGCATGTTTATGTTAGAAGAGCAGCATATGTGTTCTTCCAACCTGCCCCCCTGCCCAATATGTTACTGCAATATATTTTTACTAGTCTATTTTAACCAGTTGACCAGTTTTATTGGTTTATTTTAATCAATTTAATTAGTTGAGCTGTTGTGTATTCTGCTTAGAGTCAAGTGCAACTGAAGAAGCATATAAGTAAATAAACAAAATAAATAAATAAACAAACAAAATGCAGATATATCGCTGTTCATGAATAAATTAGATTCTTCAACAACCTGAAGAATATGCTGCTTCCTTTCAATTTTGAAGGGTGTGCCTTTCCTCTTAGTTATGGCAATTTTAAAAATCTTAAAAGCAGGAGAGCATGGTGTTACAATGCTATAGGGTTTATAACAGGTTCAAATGAACTGGTCATTTTATCTCAAACTATAAAGATAAGTAGAATAAATCCTACATCCCATACTGTAAAAAATAATAGACCCCCTGCAAATAATCAAATTTTGGCTACTCACCAACACATGTAGGAAGGGTATCATTCCACTGCGCCAATGCATTGGGCACTGTGTCGCATCTAATTGCTATTGAACCATATAGTATGTAGCCTGGATTACACTCAAAAAGAACCAATGAACCAACTGCAAATTCATTTCCAATTCTTTTTCCAAATCGTGGTTCAGGCACTGAACTGCACTGTGTTGAACTTGTTCTTGGAACCGCTAGAAACACAGTAGAGATAATATATACTGTTTCATGGCAGAAAATGAGATAATACTAAATATATTTATCACAGTTTAAATAAGAGGCTCAAATGGCTAGAAATGCAACAAAAACTTCCATCCCCATTACATAACAGAATAATTGTATCTAGCTTTTCATAATATGAAAAGTACTGTTTCATTGAATTGATATACAAAGTGAAATTCTTATTTTTGTGACGGGTAGATATTTAAATTGATTAGCTACATTTTTATGAATCTTTGCTCTGGTTGTCATATTGATATTCAGATTTATAAAGGCTAAATGTTGACATGCAATTATTTTAAAGTGTCTGATCCATTTACAAAAAGAGAAACAATGGAAAGCTCTGCTCTTTATATACACTGGATTACCCCCACTTTTTTCTTCATAGATAGGATTGCCTTGTAAATTCAAATAACATGTTTTTAATATTTAATAACAAAGTTAGTTCTAGTGCTCCATATAATATCACTGTCTATATTCAGATATAGAAATATGTATCTGAGCAAAAAGTTAGATTGGATATTAATAGATAAGGTTATAAGTAAAATAGCAAAAAGATGTGGTCATCACTTTTCCCCTTTAGATTTCAACCCTTATGAAAGGATTGCAGAAAAATACAAAAAAGGAAGAGGAAGGAAAAAAAGGAAGGGAAGGAGGAGGGAGGAAGAAAAGGGAAAGAAAGAAAGAAAGAAAGAAAGAAAGAAAGAAAGAAAGAAAGAAAGAAAGAAAGAAAGAAAGAAAGAAAGAAAGAAAGAAAGAAAGAAAGAGAAGGAAAAAGGGAAAAGGAAGGAAGGGAAAAAACAAAAGGAAGGGGAAGGAAGGGAGGGAGGGAAGAGAAAAAAAGAGAGAGAAAGTAACTTTTTTGCAGCATTCCTACTAACTTGGCATATTTTCTGATTAAAAACAAAAAGATTTTGAGGTTCAGGTTAAATACAAAAACACTTTGGATTAGATCTGTGGGCTACTGCTTAAATATCTGCTACAACATTCAATATAATTCAATATACATTTAGGCCCTGGTGCATTCCAGCACTGACTTTTAGATTTTCTATCATTTATATACTGCTGTATCTTCTTCAAAATGTTAATAATGAAAACATTCAAAATAATCAGACATAGTAATATAACGGTAAATGTTTTTTTTTTTTTAAAAAAAAAAAAAAAAAACAACCCCTGAAAGGTCAGTAAAAGGTGAGAAATTAGCAAATCAAATTAAAGGAAACATGTTAGAGGTATTTATGCCCCATACCTTGATAGACGAAGTGAAATCCTTTGGCTGTAACAGGTCCGACTGAAGTAAATCGGACAGTTATCTGGTTTTTTGAGCTCAATGGAAGGGATTCTCCTACTCAAGAAAAGAAACACTGCACCTCAGAAACAATTTTCTGTCAAGAATCCTACAATATAATTTGTTGAATATTTCAAAGGTTCTTATCCTTCTGTAAGTATCTTGTATAAAATGAAGGGCTTTTTGTTTTGCAATAAGCCTATAAAAACTAATGGCCTTGGCTTATTATTTCATTGTCTACTAGTACATTGTTTCAAGGCAAACTAGAACATCATTCCACCAGAGATTAGAATGGCCACCACTCTAACACTCTGAAGACCTGGTTCTGCCAATGGGCCTGAGGAACACAGAGCGGGATGGAGCCCATTAAATGGCTTCTATGATGTGTTGTCACTGGTTATTTTATTATATATGATTCTCTCTTTTATTATTTTTATTGTTTTTATATGATGGCACTCTGAGAACTGCTATTCACTTTACCGAATATCAGTTTGTTTAGAGTTTTCATCAATACTGAGGGCAGCTTGTGTCCGGCCAAAGCAATCAGATCCACACATGAAGGGTTCAAGCTTACTACTTGATTATACTCTGCTTATAATACATGAGTTTCCCCAGACTGCTTGCCTTCACTTGGGAAGAAAGATATAAGGTTCCATGGAGAATATAATTTAGAATATATTAAGTTTGGGGTGGGGGTAGGGGTTGGGGGTTGGGGTGGGGTTTCAGTCATAGTTCTCTTGAGGCTGCACAATGACTCAAGGTTAATGATCCCTCCTACTTCCCAGCTGATAGTTTCCCAACATCTTGGCACTGGCACAAAAATGAAATTGGTCTGGATTGTGAAATTTAAAATGAAATTAATGTGTAGTAGCATACCTTTTTTTATAAAATTCAGGTGAAATTCTATAATATATTTTCTTTGCATAAACAGTTATGTCAAGTCATGCCAAGTATCTTTCAATTGAAATCTTTGCATGTCATAATTCTATCATTATTATGCATGTAAATCATCATCACTGAGGTGTAAACTACATACACTCTTTTCTGAATGTATAGCCTGTAGGCACATCTCCAGCATTCTTTTAATTAACTACAGCTTTGAGGATATTGCTAGTGGAAGACGAGACTAATGGTCACTGAATTTATCTCATGTTAGATGATAGAAGGAATACATTTATTTTCTTGCATGATGCAGTTCCAACAAGAACTGCATGTTATCTGCAATTAATTAAAAATAAGATAAGATTAATTAAAAATAATCTGATTAATTATGTTAAAAATTATTACCTTTGAGGGGAAAGTGGGTTTTAGATTACAGAGAAAAGGAAGCACTGCAATGTAACTATTTATTGTGCTGTAGCTCTTTTTAAATCTTAAGAAATATTTGAATATTAATGACTACTGCTCTTTTATTGGTTAGAATAGTTACAAAAACATGTTTGAAGCCTGGAAAATAAAGAAAAAACATTAGAAACTCACACTGGATACACCTTATTCCCTAATTATTCTCAAATAATTATTTCCTCACTGTGTGTGTGTGTGTGTGTGTGTGTGTGTGTGTGTGTGTACTGATAATCTAAGGTACGCATCACATTTTTTCTTCTTCTTTCAACTGATATCCCGTAATCCCATAATAGTGTCAATTTAATCTTTTAATTTATGCATTCTTGATTGTTCTTCCATGTTCAAATCCAATTATTCTCAGCAGAACTATCTAGAGTAAAAGTTACTTCAATATATAACTTATTTAGGACAGTTTTGTTATGAGATACCTGAATGTGATCCTGAAAGGGAAGATAATAAGGATGATTGCTGAGTTGGCCCATCATATACTTCAACCACATCATGGAGAGATGTCTGGAAAAATACAAACTGGCCAAAAACCACTAAAAGGTTTTGGGGAAAAAAGGGGAAAGGAAAGGTTGAATGAAATACTGTATTTTTTTTTCAATTTCTGGCCACATATACACTAAAATTATACTGATATATTAAACAATAATAGAATAGGTACAAATGCAGTTATTTTTTTCAGTTATATTTTTCAGTAGGATAAAAGAGGATGAAAAGTAGAATGAGGAATAAGCTGTTACAGATGTATGTTAGGAGGGAAGGTAATTAGGAAGCAACCTTTAGATCCAACATAGCTATCATATGAAATTGAGGAATATTTGGAACACTTTTTGTTTTCATTATGATTAGCAAAGGCCAGATGTGAGCAAAGAATAAGAAAAAATAAATTTGCATAGAAAGAAAACTTATATATTTTTCATTTGAATATCATCATACATATAATTTTGATTACAGTGTTGAAAGTTTAATTAATTTCAGTGTTATTATCTATTTTATTCATTAAACATGAAATTCAGTCAACTGAACATTTAAAAATGTATTATTATTATTGTTGTTGTTATTATTCCTGACTGCTTAATATTCCAAATGAACATGATTAGAATACATTAAGTTAAACAGATAAAAAGAAAAGATGAAGAAACATATGTGAAACATATGTGATACATGGAACAAGGTGTGAGAAGTTTTATATCAAAATATATTTTACTTTTTACACTCTTTCCATCTTCCCTTAAAATATTAACAGAATCTATAATGGTCTGACAATCAGTGTCTCCACTAGATAATTGACAGCCAAGTTGAAACTAAATTAATCAAGTAAAAATAGCAAACGGGAAAATCCCTTTTTCAAACGTCTTCAAACCCCCAAATATGTTACCCAGACCTAATCCACATATCAAAGGATAAGGGCTGGAAACACAAACAGTTAATTAAATTATGTGTTCTAGAGGAATTTCATATTCACAAGAATAAATATACCTACACACATACCCCTTAGAATCAGCACACGACACACAAACAAGCTCCCCCTTTTAAAAAAACAGCTGCTGTACCCCATTTCTCTGCAGCCTGCTCCTAAATACAAATGGTTTTGCTTTTAGGAATAAATATTTCTTCTTTCCTTACAGCTGTCTGGATTTCATTTTTATTTAATCTTGCACAGCCCCAGCTCGAAGTAGAACCCCAAATTATTATTCTGACAAAGATTAATTAAGAATTACAGTAAGTTGGGATATAATGTTTCTACAATACAGATATGCAATGTCCAAGATATAAAGGTATAAAAGTGAAAAGTTTTAATTATGGAAAACTAGGTAATAAGGAGAGCAAAACTTCTTAAAGCTACTAAAGTTATCTAAAAGTAATTTGAAAGAAAAGTCAATTAATGAAAGAAATATCTATTCTGTTTTCCAAAATGAAGAAAAAAAATTTCCCATTTTATTTTGTTTTGGTCAGATTCCATCTCATTTATTGGTTCCACTTCTGGCCACTGCAAAAATGTTGGAACAGATTCAGTGAATATCAAAGAGAATAATCAGAAAACTAGAAATTAAACTCTATGCAGACATTCAAGGAACTAGAAACAAAGGCAAAGTAATAATACCATAACACTTTTCAAGAACAAGAAGGGATGCAACTTAAAAGAATCACAATTTGTTTTGCATTTAAGAGGATAAGATACAAAATAATGTATCTATTTCACAGGAAAACAGATTCCAATTGAATTGTACAGGAAAAAAAAAGTAGTTAGAAAAGTTTGACAAAGGAATTTATATTAGATTCCTGCCTTGAGCAATGGTTGGACCCAGTTGCAAAAATGGTATCTTGCAACTGGTTGACTTGAAGGGTACGGTATTTATATCAAATCTGGAGCAAAGAGTTATGTTATCTTAGTATTTTTTTCCTGCTGCTTTCCAAACCAGGATAATTATAATACTACTGAGATAGCAATTTTGGGGCCATGCCCTGGATATAATACTGTATCTTCAACTTGGTAACTATGTATAATGTATTCACCTATGAAAGTCTCTGCTTACATGGGACCTATGAAAATACTGCCAACTCTGTTGGAGAAATACAGGCTTCAAATGGGTCAAGAAACCTAATACTTTGCCAAGGTAAAATTCTTTTAAAAAGAAGGTGCAGGAGGAACATAGTTCATTCTGACTCTCTCATCAGTCAACCAAAGTTCTCTGCCCATTGAGAGTAGAGTAAGATTAAATCACCCTGCCATATTTTTCTTTTGCTCTCCAGCTTTGGAGTTGCACTTCCTGCCTTGAACACTGGTGTAGAGGGGTGTGTGTGAATGAGAAACAGATTTGTCCTGGCAAGTTCAGAATACTTTTAGAAGGGGAAACTGAGTTTAACTGATGGACATGGAATGTTATCTCAAAAGCAACAGAAGTGCATCTTTAAACAGATTTCAACTAGCAGGCTAGTTGATTATGTGTGCCTGCATCTGCAGGAATGCACACGATTATACACGATTATATACTCTACAACATTTTTACCTGCTATGTTTTTACAATGGACGGTTTTAATGTTTTTCAATGTTTTTATGTTGTAAGGCACTCAGAGTTGTTGGATACAAGATGGGTAGCAAATAAATTTTATAAAAAATAAGTTTCAATTGTATCACTTTTAAATAACTCTATCAGTTGTAATCAGATTTTATGAATGACTGAATGAATACATGAATTTCATATGATAATCTTCAAACAGAAGTATTCAAATAGTTCCAAATACAAAATGCTCTTTTAGATGATTCATAGGATCAGGCTTCTAACATTTATTTATTGTTTTACTATTACCTTAAAATCTTTAAACTTTCAGAACTTAGGACTTTGTAACAAACTTTTTAAATAAGTAGGTTATCTTAAAAAACTGGTTCTGGTGAATTTTCTACTCTAAAATGATACATAACTCACAGAACAGTCATCTGTGAATTCTCTTAATTTATAGCTACATGTTCAGATATATAAGTATAGTATAAGTAAGTACATTATATTGTGAAAAACAAAGAATAGATTTCCACAATATAAATTGTTGATTGTTGTAAGCTTCCATGAAACATTTATGAAAAGCAACTGTCCTAATAATAAAACCACATACTTGAAATACATTGAGTTATTTAAATTTCAAATGTTGTTCAAATTTTATGAAGCTGTTAAAGGGAATTATTATAAATGTTAAATTTAACTGAACATTCTGGATACCAATCTGAAGCCTACCATTACTGGAAAAACCTGAGTTTGAAGAATGGTATACAAAACTCATGAACAAATATTTAAAGAAACAAATAAAAAAAACTCATTTGTATGACTTAATTTGGAGTAGAATCAGGGTAACTGAATATCTGCTGCTTCCTAGGATTGATCTCACAACCTTCTGAGGGAAAGGTAAGTGTCTTCACCACTAGGCTACCCCACTGCTCATTTAAGAAATAAATGACATTTAGAGATGTTCTGAATTAACCAAAAAGATCATTAATGGACCATGACAAGAAAATGCAGCAGTGCAAATATTTTCAGATTGCCTCACCAAACATATAAGTCAAGCATTTAGATTTTGGTAATATTCTCATCTTCAGGATCTCATCAGGAGGGAAAGGCTTTTATATTAACATTTTAAAAAGAGAAACATTCTCTGGCAAGCAATGCTGACTAAGAAGAGCATTGGACCCATCACTGACACAAAACATGCATGGGGTACTGAAGAAGTCAGAGTGGGAGATCAGATTTCTTCCTTCTTGCTAAACTGTAACAAAATTATTAAAGGGTATGAACCTAGATTTCTTCCTTGGCTGTCATCAAAATTAAAATTTTCAGAGTAAGTCATTTGTGTTTAGTTCTAATTATAATTTCCTAACAGTCATGGTTGTCCCAAAGGTGCTTTTTAAAGAGGCAACTGGACTGTGTTGTTTTTCTTTGAAAACATTTTACTTTTCATACAAGAAGCTTCTTCAGCTTTGACTGGATGGTGGAGAATGGAAAGATTTGTACTCCTTGAAGACAGCTGGTTATTTGCATTCTTTTAGAGAATAGTCAAGGCCATTTGGAGGATTTTCTGTGTCCTCAGGGACACCTGAGTAGTGCAAATGGACGCGGAGCCTTCTTGGAACTGTTGAAAGGACTGTGTTATAGACTGGAGATAGATGATAGATGACCAAGAATCTCTATCTAACAGACATAGTCAGCCCAAACAAATTCTCCCCTACCACCACTGCACCAATTGCTTTGTTAAATGTAAAAAGAAAAAATAAACAAATGTATATTAAATTAAACAAAGTTGTAATTATCACTCTATACAAGGTTATTTAATTGAAATTAACAGAACTATGCAGGAAGGTAAAAAATCATTTCAGAAAAGTATGTGAGCTTTAAAATTGGCAAAGAGAAAAACCCAGAACTCAGCTATAAAAAATGAATAAATATAAAAGCAAATAATTCATGAAAGAGTTATGGATGTAGAGGAAGAAAAATATCATCTTGCTTTTCTTCAAAAGATCGATGGTTTCAATGAAGTTGGAAAGTACTTACAAAGTATTTTAGAATCAAAATAAAACTTTGGAAACTTTAACATCTGAGAGGGAATTTCATTCCTTGGTATTAGTCTTGATAGATGTAATTCATTTTCTGTTTATACTGAAATAGTCCTCAATCTTCACCTGGCAAATGTTGTTATCCCCTTCATCTCATCTAAATGATCCTCATTACTATATCATATATCATTGTGTATAATACAGTAACCCATACAGAAACTATAAAACAATATTGTAAAAACAGGCAAGAAATGATTTATACACTATCAGTTTTCTGGCATGGACATTTCTTCCATTTTTGGCAAGTGGCAAAAATGACTGATTTTGATTCTTACACAAATTGATCTTTAGTTTTTTCTATAATCTGGATAATTATAGAAGCAACTATTTCTTTTTATGACACAGTTCTGGATGTAAGTTTGTTTTAATAATCTCAAGCGGTTCTGGTTAATTTTCCCCAACAAACTTGAAGGAATATAAAGGCTATATCACATT